AACGCTTGCTTCAAATTTGGCTTTAGACTACGTTAATGGTCTTATTCTCCACCAATGAGGTTAACGATATCGCATAGTACCCCATAAACCTGTACAACTTTTATGTCATTTTTTTTTTTTTAAAGTGGTTTTTTCCCTCTGTGTAGTTTTGGAGCCTGTCCTGGAACTCGCATTGTAGACCAGGCTGGCTTCGAGATCACAGAGATCCACCTGCCTCTGCCTCCCGAGGGCTGGGACTAAAGGTGTGTGACACCACTGCATGGCAAAAAACGAAATCTTAAAAGTGTTGAGATTCCCACAGCCTAGGCATCTGGTGGCTTGGCAGAAACAGAGCTGAAGAATGGATGAAGGCTAGATATCCATTCTTTTTCCCATTAAGCCTGAGAAACTTCTGAGACAGCAAAACAGCATGCCAAGAGCAGCCACAAGCCAAATAGGGCCTGTTGCTGTAGAAAATGGAACCACTGTCAGCCTTATTAGATTGCCCAGATGCTGGGCATCTGGAAGCAGATCTGACCCCTTTAAACTGTAATCCTCCATGATTCTTCCAAGAACTGAGCCAATGAACTTCCAACTAACCTGAGTTAATAGTCACTAAAACAATAACTTTGGATATCAGATAGAAACATACAGCTAAATTAATCTGAGACAAGGTTTAATAGGTGGTGGCGCCTACCTGTAACTCTAGTAGTTGTTAGGCAGAGTCAAGAGGATCAGTGTTCAACTCCAGCCTGAAAGGACTAGTGTCAACACAAGATACACTAAGAACCAATTTTCAGAGAAAAGGAGATTTATTTGCCCCAGAAGGACAAAGGACAGGAATAACAGACAAAGGTAGAAATAGAGGAGGAAGGAGAAGGGAAAAGGAACAAGAGTGCAGGGGAAGGACATTTGCCCCAGAGACAAAGCCACTGCCTCTGGATAGAAAGGACAGTGTGGCCCGTAGGCAAATGGACCCTGGTGTTAGGGTGACAGGTTTGTTTTTATTGGGCATGTTAATTAGGGTAACCAAAAGGGAGCTTTTGATTGCTGAACATCAGTATTTTGATAGCTTGACCTTGATGGTCAGCCTCAGAGGAATACACTAAGTAAGGGCATAGACCTTGGTGGCCAGCTTTAGACTGTAACCTATGGTTTAGCAAGGCAGAGGGAAGGGGGTAAGATCAAGGCCTGCCAGAGCCATGTTTGCTATGCTCCTACCTCCTAGAGACCTTTGATAGCCATAACTACAAAGGAAAACACAGGCTCGAAAAATAAACAACAAAATCACAATCTACTTTGGGTAATTTGTGTGTGTCAAGGCCAAAGGTCAATGTTGGGTATCCTTCTCTACGAGTCTCTACCTCGTTTTCTGAGACAGGCTCTCTCACCTAACCTGCAACTCAGCAACTCAGCAAAACTAGATTCCAGGGATCGCCTGTCCCTGCCTCCCAGAGCTAGGGTAGCAAGTGTGTTACTCGGCTACTAGGCATGCAAACTCAGGTCCTCAGACTTGCCTGGCAGGAGCTTTACCAACTCCTTAGTCCCCGTGTTTTTGCTTTTAATAAAGATTATATTTTAGAACAGTTTAAATCAAAATTGAAAAGAAGGTACAGGGTTCCTATATCTTCCCTGCTCCACCAAGCACATAGCTCCCCTGGTTACTCGTCTATAATGCCTCTCTAAGTTAGCCTCACTTATAGAATTTATGGGGGATTTGTTGTTCTCTTAACTAATTTTTAAGTTAACACACAATAATGTGCTTCACCGTGACGTCTTCCTACAGGGTCACTATATTTTGTTCTCATCTGTTCCCCTGTCCATTTGTCCCTGCCCCAACTCCACCTGATTTGCTGGCTCCCCCATCCCAGAACTTACGTTTATATCACCATCATTTGCCTTTGTGAAGTTTTAAAAAACATTTATTCATGAGCTAAGAACACATACTATCATTGCAGAGGACTGGAGTTCAGGTCCCAGCACCCACACCAGGCAGCTCACACCTGTCTGTAAGTCCAACTCTGGGGGATCTGACAACTTTCTGACCTTCTCCTATGTACACACACACACACACACACACACACAAAGTAATAGTTAAATTTAATACATATATTTCTTCATTATTTTAGTGAGTGCTTTGTCTGCTTGTATGTCTGAGAATCACATTCATTCTTGGGGCTCTCAGAGTTCAGAAGAGGGCATCAGCCAGACCTACAATGGTTGTCAGCTGCCATGTGGGTGCTGGGAACTGAACCTGGATCTCCGCAAGAGCAGCCAGTGCTCTTAACTGCTGAGTCCACCATAATTTCTTTTTATATATTTCTTATACTTCCCAAACCCAGAAAGGGCTGTTAACAAAGAGTTCATTTGTTCCTCAAACAAATTTGTTTTCATCTCACCAGTAAGAGTATGACGCTCTGTTTTTTCAGGTCATTAAATGTTTGCAATAAAAATCCAATTAGCCTGTGTACCTGAGGGATTTGTTTGCTTAAGGATTTTGTGTCTCCCTTGAACAATATACTTTATTGTTCAACTGGAAAATGACCTCTAGCTGAAGGACACTGAGATTTCATTATGTTTCTAACCAGTATCCAAGAAAAACTAATCTGGTTGTTAGATCAAAGTGTTCTGTAAGTTGAGTTTAAAAGAACTCGCTTTGACTTCCAGGTGTGTGTGAGCCGTATTCCTTTCTCAAGAGCAGGAAATGCAAGCTTGCCATGAAGATAACTGGGACAGAGGGTGTTTCCTTTGGCACTGAAGCTTCCCACCCTGGGCATGGCAGATGCAGCTGGAAGACCGCAAGGACCACAAAATGCAATCAAAGTAAGGCTGCCTGCTCCTGTGTCCTAGAAACCCGCTGCAGAAACAAAACACTGGACACTCGTTTGAGAGGAAGGCTCTTGAGTGCTCTCTGAGTGATGGAATGCGGACTCCATGGCGATGGGAGGAATGGAATCACCCAGCAGGAAGACTTCCCAGCACAGCGCAATCTGAAAACGGCAGAGAATCGTCTGAGCAATGGTCTCACTGTGTAGCCCCGGCTGGCCTAAAACTGGCAACATAGACCAGGCTAGACTCAAACTCACAGAGATTCTCCTGCCTCAGCCTCCCTAATGCTAGAATTAAAGGCTCATGTCACCACACCTGACCTAAAATAATACATTTTTTAAAACAACTCTTTAAAAGTAGGTCAAAATAGTCGGACAGTAGACTCTTTGCCAACCCTCCCTCCACATGGGGCTTACTAAAGAGTTGAATGGCCAATAGCTAGACAGGAGAGGATAGGTGGGGTTTCTGAGGGGAGAGAAAGAGGACAGGAGAGGATAGGTGGGATTTCTGAGGGGAGAGAAAGAGGAGGAATCTAGGTGTGGGATTTAGCCAGCAGACTCAGAACAAGTTGGACATGCAGTACTGAGGAAAAGGAAAAGCCGTGAGGCAGAATGTAGATTAGCAAAAACAGGTTAATTTAAGTTACAAGTGATAGCTGGGGAAAAGCCTAAGCTAAGACCAAGTTTTCATAATTAATAATAAGTCTCTGTGTCATACTGGGGGGCTGTTGATCCAAAGATAGTCTAGCAAGAAAGCTTACTACAGAGTACATATCATGTTTGTCTTTATGGGTCTGGGTTACCTCACTCAGGACAATTTTTTTCTAGTTCCCATTCATTTGACTTCAAATTTCCTGATATTGTTGTTTTTAACAGCAGAGTAACACTCCATTGTGTAAATGCACCACATTTTCTTTATCCATTCTTTAGCTGACAGGCATCTACGTTGTTTCCAGGCTCTGACTTTTAAAAATAAAGTTGCTATGAACTGCCTTCTTACCTGCCATGACTTGTTACTCTGAAGGCTGTGAAGATCACAGAGACACCACCACCATCACCACCATTCACGAACACACTGATGGGGATGTCCTTCTGTATGCTGTGTATATATGTTTGTCTTATTGGTTGTTGAATAAATCTGCTTAGCCAATGGACATGCAGGATTTAGTCAGGTGGGAAATCCAAACAGGAATAGAGAAAGGTAGTAGGAAGAGTCAAGGAGACTCCGTGTAACCGCTGAGGAATCAAGAGACCCAGGCTTAAATAACCCGGGTTAATAATTAAGAGAGAGCTAGCCAATAAGAAGCCTGAGCCATCGGCCAAACAGTTTGTAATTAATATGAGCCTCTGTGTGTTTATTTGGAACTAAATGGCCACAGGACAGGGCAGGGCAGAAACGTCCACCTACACACATAGTGACTTTTTACATCCAACAACCAGTCCCCCACTCCCAAAAACAGGTGCTTATTCTCTCACTGATTCTTATGATGCTGGCATTGGTCCTCTTGAGCCCTTGAATGAGGTAGCATTCTGCACCTCAGGAAGGCCAGTTCTGATATATCTCTAGTCATAGGCACCAAAGAGGGCAGGAAGAGCTATGTCGCCCACAGTGCCCTTCCTACTTCTGCTGAGAGTTACAGACCTGGCACCACACACACCGGACTGAGCCTCTCTCCACATATACAGCAAATCCTCCCATTGTGTAGCTCTTCCTGGGTCTAATGTCCTCTCCCTAGGACACCTGCAGACACTCTAGCATAACCTGCAATGGAAAAAAGTCTCTGACTGTGACACTTCCCTTGGTCTGATCAAAGCCAAGTCTCTGTGTTCATGTTCTCAGTAGGTGGCCCTTGATAACACTTCTGACCCCTTGATCAGTGCCCACTTTGAGTCATTCAGTGAGACAGACAGGCCTGATGAAGAGCAGCCAGTCACCCATCCGGCAACAACTTAATGGCATTGAATTTCCTGGATGAGGCAACATCCAAATTCATTCCTTAGTCACCACAGTTATTTGTCTGCCTGTAATGCTTCTGTCATTTCCATCCTAGATGAACTTCCAGAAGTCTTATTTACTGTCATAGAGCTTTTATTAATTTATTTCTCTGTGAGTGAGGGGGGGAGGTGTGTGGGTGATGGGGGGTTGGGGAGGGGCAAGGATGTGTGCAGGCACGCATGGAGGTGCCTGTAGAGGCCAGATGTGTCAGTTCCCTGTGGAGACAGAGTTGTAGGCAGTTGTGAGCCACTTGGCATGGTTGCTGGGAATGGAACTCTAGTCAGGTGATCTGCTACTCAGCTGGGACCCATCCCTTGGCTTCTATTTTGTTTTCCTGCCCTGGGTTTATCATATCTTCTCTCCAGCCCTACCATCACAGCTGATGTAACATACTTCCCAGCAGACGACTAATTTTACAGCAAAACAAGGGCAGCGTTTGGGCTCGAGCACATGGAATTCACTGATCTCATGGATCCCTTCACCCAGAAGCAGCTTGGCAGTCACTGCTGGAGCATCCAGTCAACTCCGTAAGTGTGCCTGGTGGAAGACAGCCCCTGTGGGAGGCCTCTGCCAGCCGATGGATGCTGTGCACAGGAAGTCAAAGGATTCCTCCCCTGTTAAATTCAATAAACTCACCTGTGTTTGGCTTGGCTCTGGTAACTTTAGAAGCCACAAATCCAGTGGTTGAAATACATATACCAGGAAACCAACTGGTCCAACCCAGAGGTAAGCTGAAATGCCTGTGTCCAGTCAAAGAAACCTCAAGGGAAGTTTTGATTCCTGGACCTTGCAAATCTGAACAAAAGCCATGTTCAGACAGGAATCTGGGCCTTCTGCCAAAATGTCTAATGTGGTCAGTAGTTGTGGATTGGAGGTGTCTCCAGAGGGCACCTGTTTTGTATTCTAAGAGGTGAGAAAGTTAGCTATAGCATCCACACACAGGTTTGTTTCTTTGGAACCTCTCGCTGGGTGGTGGGGCTATGAGGTTGGTTGGTTGTAGCCTTTCCTTCTTCTGCTGGCAACCACACAGATGACAGCGAAACTGACCGGCAATGGGTGGGAAAGGGCGTGAAAGGACCTGTAAAGCACCTCAGCAACTGTTACCTGATGAGATCGAAAGCAAGCTGAGGGGTGGTATTGCTTCTGAGAAGAGTGGGGAAATGTCCCGGTGGCTGGTGATTTTGTTGTTGTTGTTGTTCGAGACAGGCTTTCTCTGTATAGTTCCTGGAACTCACTCTGTAGACCCAGCTGGCCTTAAGAGACCCACCTGCCTCTGCCTCCTCAGGGCTGGGATTGAAGGCTGCGCCACCACAGCCCGGCTTGTGTTTGCTTTTTCTTTGTCTCCATCTCTCTCCTGCACTTGGGTTGGGCGGGGCTGTGATGGGGTTGGGGTGGGGTTAGAGTCACAGCAGCATCTGTCCTCCATCACCGGCGTTGCCCCTCCCCTCTCCTCAGCCTTCCTCCATGCAGCGACAGAAGTAAGGACATCCGTCCGCACAAGTTAACTAACAAGGCCCCAGTTTGAGCGACTTGAGGAACCAGGAGACCGTCTGCCTCCCCTTAACTCCTCGTTTGACTAACCCAAAGTTACCAAGAACTTCTGAGACCATTGTAGAGGACTCGTTATGGAAGATGATTGGACCCTCAAAGTTAGTCCCAAACCACCGATTTGAAAAAGAAATCGCAAACCTACAGTGCCTTGCTATTCTGTGCTTCGAGAAAAAGACAAGTGCATCTGCCTTCAGGTATGAAATATTTTGGTATCTCGGAGTTGGCTCTCTTTTCAATTGGTGCTATATTACAGAAAGAGAGTTATTTATACCTGTTATTATGTTCTTGTCAAAAATGGCAGCATAAGCACTATAATTGAACATTCTGAATATAGAATGACGGGTGCTCAGGGCATGAGTGTGTAGAAGGTATTATATTCAGCAGGAAGGGTTACAGAGAACCAACTGACAAAACACCACTGAATAGTTGGGTTGAGCTAATCACTCAAGGCACTACGTCAGTGTCGACCGGATGTCCACCATGCAGGATATGGTGGCTGTTCTGAAGGGTTCCTTTGAAGGGGGTGGGGGGTTGAGACAGGGTTCTCTGTGGCTTTGGAGGCTGTCCTGGAACTAGCTCTTGTAGACCAGGCTGATCTCGAACTCACAGAGATCCGCCTGCCTCTGCCTCCCAAGTGCTGGGATTAAAGGTGTGCGCCACCACCGCCTCAAGAAGGGTTTCTTTATTGTAAAACCAATGAAAACAAAGTCCTCAGGTCCTACAGGAAAGGAACAGAGAGCCTCTGAACCAATCCCACTGCTTTTTAACCTGTTCAGTAAAGAATCATAGCCTTCAAACTAGAATGCCTGAGAAGCATCACCCATCCCAGGCCGTGGAACTGAGAAAGATAATTTATCACAGATAAGTTAATGGCCAAGTATGGTGAGTGCCTGTAATCTCAGCTCTGGTGAGGTTGAGGCAGGAGGATTGTAAATTCAGGCCTGCCTGGGCTACATAATGAAACCTTGTGACAGGAAAAGGGGGAAGGTTTGGGGGGGGTTATATTATTACCATTACCATTATCAAGGTAGAAAATGAAATCGATGAGAGGACCTGGAGAGATGGCTCAGCTGTTCTTCCAGAAGACTAAGATTGATTCCCAGAACCCACATGGCAACCCACAGCTGCCTATAACCCCAGTGCCAGGGGATCTGGCCTCTGCAGGCACGCATACGTGTAGAGTACAGACATATATGCAAGCAAAACACCCATATAAAAATGCGTAACAAATAAGTAAATGAATCCCTGAATGAAAAAGTGATGAGATCAGTGTGTTGGATGGAAGATCTCACAGCAGTCTCCTCTGTCTCCCAGTCTCTGATGTGAAGCCCTTGGTTTTCCCCAGACTTGTCCAGGGCCCTGGGTATAATCAATGCTTAACCTTCGTTTGCCCTAACCTCTGGCCCTACACATTTCCTGCCCCTCTTCCCACAGTGTCTGTGGCAGGCCTGACAAGACCGTTGGCTCCAGTTCATTACTCCACTCTACTATCAGGTGACCCAAACAGACCCTTCTTGTCATTTGTGATGAAGGACCAAGAGAAAGAGGAACAGGATTGGTGGCAGCTAAACTGCAAAGCTCAGGAGTGGTACAAGGACGCAACACGAAGAGTAACGAAGCCAGGCCACCATCAGATTTCTGAAACCGAGGCCAGCAACCGAGACAGAACGCATGGAGAACCTGCAGAGCTCCAGGCCCTGCTTTGAGGCGGCCTGAACCCCGCCTGGAGCTCCCACGATGGCCCTCCCCCTCCTACCTTCTTTGCCCAGGCTGGTTGCTGTTGAACTCTTTTCACCGCCAGCCCACCCCACAGCGAGCTCCCAGCCCCAGTTCTGCAGTCTGCTCTTCATCCTCGGCACAGCCTCCCTTTCCTTTACCGATGCCAAGTGCGTTTCAATTACACCACTTGACAATAGATTTTAAGTCCTGGGAAGGTAAGTTTCCTTAATGTCCTTTTTTTAAACTTTCTTGCCCTCTAGGTCAAACATGTTCATCCTTCCAGATAAATTTAGACTCATTTTGTCAATTTTTTAAAAGGCAAAAGCATTTTGATCTGAATGATCTTGACTTCGCTGATTAAGCAGCAGGGATGAGTGACGTCCGTGAAATCTTAAGGATTGCTCCCTGAGAATCAGCCACCGTGTTGGAGTACATTTATGATCCCTGTAAGGCTTGGCAGATCTGGGGATGTTCTGCACATTTCTTAAGTCCTATCTCCCTTGTCTTACATTTAAGTGCTCTATCGTTCTCACCAGAGTTTTAGTCTGTGGACTACAGCAGACATCTCAGGTGCCTCCCCTCGCATCTGCTTGACCCCCTGATTGCAGCTACAGCCAGAGGAGGACAGTCCCAGGTAAGTAGAGCAGCTTGTTGTACTGCAAGCTTGAGTTACTCCTTCGGCTCCAGAACTTTCTCTAGGGCCATTTGGAGCCAGCTCAAATATGGTGCAGAGCTACCTCGAGCTAACAGCTGTGGTGAGCAGAGACTGGTGGGTAAATCAGCCATGCCGTATGCTCCGGAGGTGCTCAAGGGTTGCCTCAGGTGCCAAACACGGGCAGCAAATGGGTAATGCCTTCATGTTCCACTTTCCTCCTCCCCAGCCCACAGGCTTCTTCAGCTCCTAAGAAACCACCTCCCTCAACTCCTTCCCTCAGACTCTGCTCTTAGGAGATACTCAGACTGAGACAGACATCTTCAGATTCTGACTTCTAATGTTTCCCTCTTGCTGGGGAATCATCACATCTGCCTGCATCCAGCCGCCATGCAAAGGACACTCCACCTGACTTAGACCATAGGGCTCTATGATGCTTCAGGTAACGAAGAGTCCTAGACAAAGGGACCACAGAGATGACATACAAAAGTGGCTTGTTGTGTCCCAGAGAACCAGAGGTGGGGAAATCAAAACCCAGATGAATATGACTTCCTCTCCTTGACTCTCCTGGGCCACATACTGGCAACATGGACACGCACTCACATGTGTCCTGCTGTATAACCCAGCTAGCATGGACACACACTCACATGTGTCCTGCTGTATAACCCAGCTCGCATGGACACACACTCACATGTGCCCTGCTGTATATCCCAGCTCGCATGGACACAAACTCACATGTGTCCTGCTGTATAACCCAGCTCCCATGGACACACACTCACATGTGCCCTGCTGTATATCCCAGCTCGCATGGACACAAACTCACATGTGTCCTGCTGTATATCCCAGCTCGCATGGACACGCACTCACATGTGTCCTGCTGTATAACCCAGGTAGCATGGACACAAACTCACATGTGTCCTGCTGTATATCCCAGCTCGCATGGACACACACTCACATGTGTCCTGCTGTATAACCCAGCTCGCATGGACACACACTCACATGTGTCCTGCTGTATAACCCAGCTCCCATGGACACACACTCACATGTGTCTTCTGGTGTCTTACCATTTGAAACACCGCTGAAAGGCTTGCAGCACTCACACCCAGCTCTACAGCCCTCCTCAGTTTGCCTCACCCCAAATCTAAACCAGTGCCAGCTGGGGAGATGCCTGAGTCAGTAAAGTGCCTATCACAGAAGCATTAGGACCTGAGTTTATGCCAGCACCCATGGAAAAAATAATAATAATCCAGGCATAGCACTATCCCACAATAATCCCAGCAGTGGGACAGCAGAGACTGGGGAATCCCTGGAACTTGCTAGTCAGCCAGTTTAGCCATAGCCAGATCTATGAGCTCCAAGTTCAGTGAGGCACCCTGACTCAAAAATAGTAAGGTAGAGGAGGATTGAGAAGGACACTCAACATCAACCTATGGTCTCCACGCACAATAACACATGTGCGCACAAGCAAAATGCATTTCACAGTTCACAGTGAATTTTTCAGATGAGATCATCCCATGATAAATCATGAAGCATCTGCATGTTTCTACCATGGAATTTTCCATTTGTTTCTACCATGGAATTTTCCATTTGATGCTGTTTAGGGGTTTTCTTTTCTTTTTTATGGTTATGTAGATGGGCTCATACTGTGTGATTGTTTTTCAGTTTGCATTTCTTTTGGGGAGGGTTCGAGACAGGATTTCTCTGTGTAGCCCTGGCCGCCCTGGAACTTGCTCTGGCCTTGAACTCACAGAGATCCACCTGCCTTTGCCTCACGAGTGCTGGGATTAAAGAGGTGTGCCACCAACACCTGGCCTTTAAGAACCTAAGTTCTTAAAAATCATTTTTTAATATTTATTTTGCCTAGCAGCCTGGTCTACAGAGTGGGTTCTAGGACTGCCAGGGCAACTCAGAGAATCTCTGTCTCAAAAAAAAACAAAAACAAAAACAAAAAACAAACAAGATTTATTTTCATCATGTGACTGCATGTATGTAAGTGTATGCCATGTGTATGGTGTTTTCAGAGACCAGAGGTGTCAGATCCCTGGAACTGGAGTCACAGGCTGTTGTGGTGGCTGGGAATCCAATTTGGGAAGAGCAATGCACTTTCTTAACTGATTACCCATCTCTCTAGCCCTTTTAAATATCTGTTTTTAAATATTTATTTATTATTATATGTATAGTGCTCTGGCACATATGCCTGCAGGCCAGAAGAGGGCATCAGATCTCATTAAGGATGGTTATGAGGCACCATGTAGGTACTGGGAATTGAACTCAAATCCTCTGGAAGAACACCCTCTTAACCTCTGAGCCATCTCTCCAGCCACCCTTTCAAATCTCTTAAACATGATCCACACACAGCAACCATCACTTCAGATTTGTGTCATATACTCAAGACAATTCCTTGACGAAAGATCTGGCTGGACAATGTCCCTAGCACAGGCCCTCACACAGCTACATCAGGGAGCCCAGCCAAAGGAGTCAGCCTGCTGGCTGCTTGTGAACATGGGAAAGAATTCCCTCACATACAAGTGACAAATGTTTACTACATCTTCTCACATTTCTCAGTTGAGTTTTTCTCTTGTGATTTTTGTAGTTCTTTATAGTCTGGATATTAATTACCCGTTAAAATGCTGCAAATATTTCATCCAAGTCTGTTGCTTGTTTCTAATTTTAGTTGTCAGATTTGCCAATCTTTTCTGTAGAGGAAAAATATTATTTTTCTGTATTGCATTTGAAAAAAGAACACACACATATTACATCATTTATATAGACATGAGTATTTACAGTTGTGTATATATACATATATGTATACATGTATATACATATGTGTGTGTATATATCATTTCTTATATTTCAGTATTATTTATAGGCAAACATTTTGCCCAATTTTGTTAATAATTCTGAGTCTAAAACTGATTTGTCCTCACTCCCAGCCTTGGTTGTTGATTATTCTAAATTTTTAAAAATTTATGTATGTATTATGTATACAGTGTTCTGCCTGCCAGAAGAGGGCACCGGATCTCATTACAGATGGTTGTGAGCCACCATGTGGTTGCTGGGAATTGAACTCAGGACCTTTGGAAGAGCAGGCAGTGCTCTTAACTGCTGAGCCATCTCTCCACCCCCGTGACTATACTAATACTTTGTCCTTATGTGTTTGTGACCCTCAGTTGTATATTCGTTGTACTTATTCAGTCTACGACATTTGTTGTGATAAATACAACAGGCCAGTGTATTCTGTTCCAATTCTCTCCACACTCCATGCTGGGGTCTGCATTCTCTAGAGTCCTCAGAATCAATCCTGTTTCCCAACTGAGACTTAATGACAGAATAACTTCCCCAAGCTGTCCAACCTATACATAGCAAAGCCAGGCTGCTATCCAGACAGTGCAGGCCAAAGCTGTCCTGTTTTCCCAGCACCGCTGCTGGCCTGAGGTCTTCCCAAAGCTAGCAACCCACCCCTGGTTCCTAGTCCCCAATGACCAGACAGCTCATGGACGGGTAAGTATATTTCTCTTCTTCTTACTCTAAAAAAAAAAAGTCGGCAATAGAAAGCTGCACACAGCTCAAGGCGTCACAGGTCTCAATAACCCGCTCATCGCGTGTCACGCCACACTCCTCCAACACCGCTGTTTATCCTTCCCTTAAGATCCTAGATGCGAATTCCCAAGGTTGTGGAGACCCCTAGGTAGGATCTCCCAATTCCAAACCTTGGGAGCTCAAGGCCCTAAGGAAATAAATTAAGGGGAGGGAGGCTTCTAATTGGTCTTGCCCATCTCTGTCTCACAGACCCATCGGTAGGGCCTCCTGCAGACGTCATCATTCCAGCGGCCATCGGAGGTCAAGTGGGCACAGTCCTCGCCTCCTCCAAGCCCGTGCCCATACCAGTCATCAGGCTGCTCTGGTTTCCAGTTCCTACAGACAAAAGACCGGCTGAGAGTTCCAGGAAATCAGACTCCCCTGCAGCCATGATCCCAGCCTTGGGAGCACAGGTTGGGGAAGCATGGTGCCCCACCGGGCAGGCACACACTCACTTGAAGTTTGTCTCATAGTCAGTCCCATCCACCCATTTCCAGGGCCCGTCCTGATCAGTTAGGCCAATCCAGGTGTTTATAGGGCCCATGTGATGCTGGACAAATTTCTGCGGGAAGAAACAGCTGGTGACCTCTCCCTTCCACCATCCAGTGTCCCAGAAGAACCCCCGGTGGCCTCACCTGCTCATCCCAGGAGGTCACCACCACCAGGTGGGCGTTCTCCAGCTGGCAGTACTTGTCGGCCTCAGTCCAGGCCCTCCCGGAGCTGGAGAACCAGTAGCAGCTGCCTTCATACTCCACCCAGTTGATGGGGCAGCAGGTCCTCTCAGAGCCTGAGGTGCGGGGAAGGGTTGAGATGCTGCCCAGGGTGGGGGTGGTCAGGAAAGTGGGGCTGGTGACCCCGCCCCTCACCATTGCTCCGAAGCACAGCCATCTGACAGCTCAGGCTTCGCAGGTCCGACACTAACTGCTTCACGTGCAGCAGCAAGTTGGAGTGATCTGGGGTGGCAGAGGACAAAATGGGAGCAAAGAAATCCGGTGAGTCTGGCCAAAGCTTTGATCTGGGCTGAGACCAACCCCTCCCCCATGCCCAGCCTCTCCCCCTCCCCCTCCCCCTCCCCCCCGTCACTCTCGCCTCTCCCCCTCCCTCTCCCTCACGCCCACACACCTTCGCTCAGATCCTGCTGCTGTTTCTCCAGCTGTGATTCCAGTAACTTCATCTTTCTTCCCACACTACCTCCTAGAGGAGAGGCATGTCCAGTGCGTAACAACAGTACCACCCCTCAGTCCCGCCCCAGGCCCCAGGCCGGCCCCCCCTCACCCTGAGTGCTCAGGACCTTGACCTGGTCCTCAGTGCTCGCAGTAAAGTTGCTGAAATTCTGCCTTAGAGCCAGCAGATCGACCCGGAGTTGGGAGTCTAGGCAAGAGAGGATATGGGTATGAAAACGTAAATTGCGCCGGGCGGTGGTGGCGCAGCCTTTAATCCCAGCACTAGGAAAGCAGAGACTGGCAGATCTCTGTGAGTTCTAGGCCAGCCTTGTCTACAGAGTGAGTTCCAGGACAGCCTCCAAAACTACAGAAAAATCCTGTCTTGAAAGAAAAGAAGGAAAGGAAACATAAGTCGCCCGTGTCCACCTACCGCAGCATTCATCACTCCCTCACACACACCCAAAGTTGCCCCCTTTCTCTGCCCAGTCCTGGCCACCCACTTTGGGACGCGATCACACAGACAACCACCAGCAACAGGAGGCTGAGGCCCAGGGAGATCAGGAGGAGGCGGGATCCAGAGCAGAGACGGTGGAAGAGCGATGGAGAGGGTGGTGGCCCTGCAAGAGAAGGAGTCAGGAGTTCACCTCATGTAGATCCAGGGCTCCTAGGAAGAGCGCAGACTAAACTCACCAATAAACTAAGTGAAACCATATATATTAAGAAATGTGGACAGTGACAACTCTCAACCTAAGAATGGGAAGAAAAGGGGCTATTTCAGAAGTGCAAAGCTTTGACCTGCCCTAGCATTGCCGAGGTCCTGGGCCTCTGCTGCCCTCTCGTGGCATGATCGTGTCATTACAGACCATGACCTGCGCAGTCTGCTCCCCTGCCCCTGGGGAGTCACTGCTCCACTAAGGTGTGGCAAAAGTGGGTTTCTTCCTCTCTCCGCGAATCCTGTGCGTCTTTGGCTGTATGCAGGGAGAGAAGGCGAGTCTCCCGCCAAGGGAGAAAATGACACTCAGTCCTGTCAGTTGGTGTGTGGTGCCTTCTCCCCTTCTCCCCTTCTCCCCTTCTCTCCTTCACAAAAGCACACTGCCCACCTGGGATACCTCAAGACTCTGACCTTGTTCTGCTTACACAACAGTCCCCGATCAGAGGACAAAGAAATGGGGAGAGGGGTTTGTTTCAGATGTAGGATGCTTCATCTTCCATCAGAGCAGAGACCACCCCAATGACCTCTCCAAGGGTCCTCAACCCAGCCCCTTGGTTCTGGTCACCCACCCTCACCACTCATACACAATGTCAAAACTGAAGAAAGCAAGGGACCTAAATTCAGAAGAGAATGACAGTAAACTCATCTCCCCACCCTTCAGTAGTCCCCAAGTCTTGGATCCACCCACTCCCTGGGGTCTTGAGAAGTGAGTGACATGGTAATGAAGCTTGGCAACTGTCACCTGCCCGGCAAGGGTGACTCAGCCAGTTTTCTGAATGCATGGGACAGAGCTAGGAGTTACCAGGGGAAATAGGAGTTGAATCGGAGGGATAGAGCCATCGATGCTCTCTGGTGGGGAGCGTCCCTCACCTCTCTGGAGTCGATGAAGATCGTTCTCCTCATTGTCCAGATGTTGGAAATCTTGATAATCCTTTGTCATAATGGCACTGGAGCTGGACCTAGGACAGCCAAGTTTAGAGCCGAGGTTGGAGCTAATAGGCCTGGATCTGGAAGTCCAGTCCCTTCTACGTCTGCCTGGGTGACCTCCAGAAGAACGGCACCTTCCTTCTTCCCTCCATCGGCTCCCAAGCCCAAAACTCTATCCTCCAGCTGAGCATGGTGGTGCCCACCTTTAATCCCAACACCCAGGAAGCACACTTGGGTGGATCTCTGAGTTCAAAGCCAGTGTGATCTACATAGTTAGTTCCAGACCAACCAAGGCTACATCCTAAGAAAAATCTATGCTCTCCAATTTACACACACACACACACACACACACACACAAATGTTCAGGACCCCTCCACCCACTCTCTCACTTGCCTGCTTTACTTACTGAAGGTCCCTCAACAGCACACAGAGCCCAGGCTAAGGAGGGGGCTGAAGTCTGAAGAATCAGGTGGACAGCCCTGGACAATGGGAGGGAAGGGGACAGGGTCCATCCAAGGATCCCGAGTGCCTAGATGGCTGTGTGTCTAAGCACGCTGAACCTGGCCAACCTCACCAACGCCAAGACTTTGGACTTTAAACAGAGGTGGAAATGGATTTGGAACTGGGGAGGTGTTTGGAGTGGGAAGAAGGCATGGGTAACCCCTATTCTATTTCTCCGAGGAGGGGGAGTCTCCTGACACACAGACACACCACATACCACACGCCCCGCACGCGCACGCGCGCGCACACACACACACACACACACACGCACGTGCGCGCGCACACACACACACGTGCACACACTGGGCCCCACTTCGATACTCTATCTTTTTGGGAGACAGGTCAGGGTGCCTTTGCTGATTCCTCTCAGGGCCCTCCCCCTTTCCGTTCTGAATTTCCCAGAATTGTCTGTGTCTCCAAACAGCCCTGACTAGGATCAGAGGCACCAGCTGATCCCGAGCTCTTACCCAATCCTGCCCTGTGACCCTGGCATTATAATTTCAAGCTGTAGATTCTTTGGGGCTCAGCTCCAGGTCCCCTGCCCTAACCTGACCCGCCCACTCTCCTGTAGTCCTCCAAGCAGCACGCAGGTGGCAGGAGGGGCAATTCTGCCCCAGGCCTCCTGCTTTTCTCATTCCCAGAGAACAACCCATTCTGCAGGCTAGAAAATTGAGGTCCTGGAAGGAAAGCTTCACAGAAGAGCGCAGACTAAAATGTGGGCAGCCCAACTCTGTACCCTGAATGCTGCCTCCATCACTTTACCCAGAACAAGGTTTCCAGCTGGTTCACATGCTAGGTCCCCAAGTCCTCCGAGACGCTTAAACATGGCCCCTTTCCGTCCTGATGGCTTCAGAGACGGCTGTCAGAACCTGGCCACTAGCTTAGAAAGTGGGTAACATTAAAAATATCAACAGGCCCTGTGCTAGGCTGAGAACTAGACTCCAATTGTGGCTGTCTAGATTCCGTGAGTTGTTCAGGAAGGCATCGCTTACATAAATGCAACTGCTCTGTGAGTCCTTGTTTGTCTGTGTCCTAAAAACCCTCATGTTTACATGGGCTAGGCTTGCTGCCAGTGATTTTGGTGAAAATGGGCCATTAATTTAACACTTTCTGATTTTGCCATTTATGATCTAGTTTATTCTGGCAAACAAACAGACCCGGATCCAGTCTGAATAGTAGTTACACTCACAGAAGTAGTGATGGGCAGGGAGCAAGGTGGGATGTAGAGGTGAGGGAGCAGGGTGTAGGGGTGAGGGAGCAGGGTGTAGGGGTGAGGGAGTGGGGTGTAGGGGTGAGGGAGTGGGGTGTAGGGTTAAAGATGAACCTAGTTTCTTGGTCTCTGGATGCTGGTGACACCTTGGCATTGGCTTGTAAAACTGCAAAATGCAATAAACTTGGATTTTTTGCACCTTTCTCTTTGCAGATTATGCTGAACAAGGCATTTTGGAATCTAGTTTGTACCTTGGGCCATGCCTGAAGCTCATGGATAATAGTAGTGTGTTTGTGTACACACATACATGCAAGTATATGCGTATGTATGTATGTATGTATGGACAGATAAATGTAGGTGTGGATTGTGGATGTTTGTGTGCAGTTTTTCATCCCTTTCCAATAGATTTATATTTAGACAAATACATTTTATAATGTATATATAAAAGACCTGCACCACTGGATATGTGTATTAGTCACATATAATAAAATAATTACCCCACAACTTACCAACTTAAACAATAGACACAGATAGTCTCATTGCAAAGCTCAAAGTGCAGCTGAGCCCATTGGCTTTGGCTCAGGATCTCCCTTGAGACACACCAAGACCAGTGGTCATGTTCTCTGAAAGACTGGACTAAGGCTGGGAAGTCAACTGACCACGTGACTCACTCAGATGGCAGGCGAGTTACTGCTAGCTGCTGTTTGGTGTCCTCTGTCCCTCACCAGGTAGGCCTCCCCACAAAGCTGCTTGATGTCTTCTTAACTGCTGACCTAGCCTCAGAGTAACAGCCCACCATTTCCACACTGTCTCTCAGGTCAGCCCTCCCCATTGTGGAAAAGAACTAATACAGTGTAAGTCCCAGGAGGCGAGAATTCAGACGTGTGCTCAAAGATGCCTCACTGATCACTGATATCACTATATGACTGATACATTTAAAGATGGTGTGGCTTCCCTACAGGGACCACAAAGAGCTGTAGCTCTGTTGGAGATGTCACTTGGTGGTACAGAGCTTCCCCAGCATGCAAAAGCCTTGGGTCCAGTCCCTAACCCTATTAAAAAGGAGAGGAGGTAGGTGCAGGCAAGACAGTGGTGCAGCCAGATACCTAAAGTATGCAACTGCCTGCCCTTGGGGTAGAAACTGGGTCAGAGGGGCTAAGTGGCCCAGAGGCAGAGAGACGGGCCAGGAATGCGCCTCTGAAGGGTGGGTCTTGTCCTGGGACTCTTCCTCCCATCTCAGCTCCCTGGCTGCCATGCCGTAGCAGCTAGCGGCCTTCTTCACCACACCCCCTACACTGCCATGGTGTTCTGCCTCGCCACAGGCCCGAAGTGATGGAGCCAGCCGAGCAGGACTGAGCCCTCTGAAACCCTAGGCCAAAACAAATGCTTTCTCCTTTAAGCTGATTTCTCAGGTATCTTTTCCCAGCAGCAGCAACAACAAACATAGGTGGAATGAAACCTGTGGCCAGGGGAGAGCAGAGAATGCAGGCCAGGGATGCGAGCCAGGAGCTGGAGGTGACCAAGTGTGGCGTCTCCTTTGGGGAAACCAGGGCGAGGGAAGTATTTTTCAGGTTGGTAGAAGCCTGGAGTGCTACAAATCTTCGAAGGAACTGGCCAGGCGAGCATGCGAATACTGAGGATGAGCAAGAGGGAGGGTCTGCAGGCCCCCAGAGGGATGGGGTAGAAAGCTGAGGCCCACTACCAGACAGCTCTGGGCTCATCTGAGAAGCTGGGTTAATGCCCATCTCAAGGGTCTGTCCAAGTTAAAGATGACAGCTCTGTGCCGCCCTTGCTGGATGTCGTGTGCCGGCTCTTTTCGTCATTTTCCCTAGCAGCCCAGCAAGAACTGGGCTGTGTCTTGGTTGCTTTTCTCTTACTGTAAAGAGACACCATGACCAAGGCAACTTATTTTTTTTAACTTAATTGGGGGCTTCTTACAGTTCCAGGGGGTGAGCCCATGACCAGCACTGCAGGGAGCATGGCAGCGGGCGACAGGCATGGCGCTGGCATAGCAGCCGAGCGCTCACATCTGACCCACAAACAGGAAGCGGGGAGAGCAAAACTGGTGAGCTTTTTAGACCTCAAGCCCACCCCTGGTGACACAACTCCCCAACACCTCTTAATCCTTCCCAAAACAGTTCCACCAAGTAGGGGCGAAGCATTCGAAGTTCTGAGGGCTGAGGTGAAGCTGGGGAGGTTACCTGGTGTCTGGATGGCTGGGAATAAAGCTGAGGGGAGAGACAGACAGCCAGGGCCCCTGCACCAAGTGTACGACTGAAGCTGACAGTGCCCTCCTTAGAAGACAGAGGACACATAAGTCACCAAAGTCCAGCAGGGTCTGAGTTCACCCTGCCCTGCACCTCCCCAGTTTCACTCTCTCCAACCCAGGTACCTACACCCCAAGTTTGCAGCCTTAGAGCAATTGGGGTTCTGTCTCCTTTACTTTCCTGGCGTGACAATTTAAGGGAAAGTTTATTAAAAAAAAAAAAAGCTGAATGCTATGGTTTTCATGTAACTTTCAGGTTTATCCAATAACTGCAGGGACCCAGAGCCAATCACACTCATTGTAACTAAGGGCTTTGCAAGCCTGCTCCATGTTCTTCCTGTTAAGAACCCGGCTAGGTGGACAGTTACTGTTGCTGAGAGGTTAAGCTGACCCAAAGTGTCAACGGCACCACAGTATCCTCTCATATCAACGGGCAATTGCCTCTAGGCTTTCTATCGCCCCCTACTGGATGTTCTCTGCCGGCACCTAGGAATCCAGTTTGCCAAAATAGAACCCTGCTGCTCTGATAGCTTCTGTTTTGCTGTTGTTTGTTTTGCTTCGCCTCTTAACATTTATTTATCGTGTGGATGTGTGCATGCAGAGATCAGAGGACACCTTCTTCCCTTAGACCACGTGGGACTGAACTCACGTCATCATGCTCGACAACAGCACCTTTTCCCACGGAGCCGTCTCTCCAGCCCCTCCGACAGCTTCCCATGGCACCTGAGCATGTGAGCCGGACCCTGCGGACTTCTCTGCCCCGCTACACCCCAGTGGCCTCCTTTGTCCTCCAGGCTTCCAAACTGAAGCCCTAGCTGCTGTTCTCCTTGGCACACTCCTGTCTTTGCCGTCATTTATGTCTCAACACAGTGCTGCTCCAAGGGGGGCCACGCACCTAAACTAGCCTGAGACAGTGTCCACTTCCGCTCTTGTTTGCTTCATTTGGTTTAGTTCGGCCTTTTGAGACAGGGTTTCTCTATGTAGTCCCGGCTGTCCTGGAACTCGCACTGTAGGCCAGGGTGGCCTTGAACTCACAGAGATCCTCCTGCCTCTGCCTCCCAGGTGCTGGAATTAAAGACATGTGCTGCATCCACTGCCTGCCTAAACAGATGTCCAACAGTCACTTTATTTGCTTAATAGCTCTTATTTTAAATTATCTGCATCCATTTTCATTCCTGTTTTTTTTTTTTTTAATTCCCACTGATGGATACCAAGTTCCCTGAAACCAGGGACGTTGCCATCTCTGTATTTAGAACATAAACTGGAACCCGAAAAGATCCAAGGAACATTTGATGAAGGACATAAAGAAGACAGGGAAAGAGAAGCCGGGATTTGGATCCAAGTCAGTCTGGGAGCCCAGGGCTCTTCTCGGCCTTCTGGGGCTGGGGAGGTGGCTCAGTGGTTAACAGCACTGGCTGCTCTGCCAGAGAACCTGGGTTTAACTCACAGCACCCACATGCTGACTCACAACCATGTGTAACTCCAGTTCCAGGGCCCTAAAACCCTCACCTGGCCTCTGAGGGCACCTGGCAGACACCGTGTACACATACAAAGCACTCATACATATAAAACTGTTATTTTTAAGTGCATTTTACTGTGAGTGTATGAATGTTTTGCCTGCATGCATGTGTATATATCGCATGCATGCTTGTTGGATCTCTTGGATCTAGGACTACAATGTTTGTGAGCCATCATACAGGTCCTGGGTCTTAAACCCGGGTCCTCTGCAAGAGCAACAAATGCTCTTAACCTCTGAGTCATCTCTCCAGCCCCGCATATCAGAGTATTAAATTAAAACCCTTTCAATCTGGTGCCAAGAATGGTGATGCACACCTTCAATCCCAGCACTTGGGGCCAGAGGCAGAAGCCCAGCAGAGAAGCCCTGAGAGGAGATTAAGAAGGCCAAATGGGGAGGGTCTTGGTCCAGCCTGAGAGTGATGCCTTTCCGTGGGAAGCCTTACCCTCTCTGAGGAGTGTGGGAGGAGGGGGGATGGCAGGAGGGGGGGTGGGAAATGGGATTGGTATGTAAAATGAGAAAAGATTATTTTAAAATAAAAAAGGTGTTGATGGTGCATGCCTTTAATTCCAGCACTCGGGAAACAGAGGCAGGAGGATTTCTGTGAGTTCGAGGCCAGACTGGTCTGCAGAGTGAGTTCCAGGACAGCCTCCAAAGCAATACAGAGAAACTCTGCCTCGAAAACCAAAAAAAAAAAAAAAAAAAAGCCAAATGGGCTGGGTCATGGTGGTGGCGCACACCTTTAATCCCAGTCCGTGGGCGGCATAAACAGGTGGGAAGCAGGTGGATTTGAGTTCCAGGCCAGCCTGGTCTACATAATGGGTTCCAGGAAAGACAGAGTCACATAGTAAAATGACCCCATTTCAAAAAAAAAAAAAGCCATTTTTTTTCTTTTGGTTTTTTTTCAAGATAGGGTTTCTCTGGGTAACAGTCCTGGCTGCCCTTATGCTTACTTGTAGACCAGGCTGGTCTTGAACTCACATAGATCCACCTACCTCTGCCTCCCAAGTGCTGGGATTAAAGGTGTGCGCCACTACTGCCCAGCCAAAAGAAACTTTTTTTTTTTTTTTTTGGTTTTTACGAGGCAGGGTTTCTCTGTATTGTTTTGGAGGCTGTCAGTCCAGCCCAGCCTCAAACTCACAGAGATCCGCCTGCCTCTGCCTCCCGAGTGCTGGGATTAAAGGCGTGCGCCACCACCGCCCGGCAAGAAACTATTTTTTAATTGGCCTCAGTGGACCAGAGAGGCTGAGAGTACAGTTCAGTAGTGTTTACCCAGCCTGAGTCCTGGGCTTGAACGCCAATGCAGGGTGAGGAGACACGAGGAAAACAGTCTCTCAGAATACCACACTCCACACTCTTAACCACACTCCCTCAAATGTGTGGAACTTCTAGATGTGGGTACTGGTCAGGTATGCAGGTCACTCACATCCCCTAAAAACAATGCAAGGCAGGGTGATGGTGGGGTCCTATAACCCAACACTTGCGGGGAAGGCTGGAACCAGAAGGATCAGGAGTTCAAGTTTGAGGCCAGGTTGGGAACCTGAGACCCTTTCTCTCAAAATAATGAAACAAAACAGTAACAGCCAGTGAGATGGTTTGACAGGTAAAGATGCTTGCCACCAAGCCGGAAAGCCTGAGTTTGTCTTGGGAACCCACGTGGTGGAAAGAGACAATCTTCTCCTCTAGGCTGGTCTCTGACCTCCGGGCACCCTGGTGTATGCACACAATAAATCCAATTGGAAAGGGAAAAACAAACGAAAAACAAAAAGCAATAGGGATGGATGGGTCAGCGGTCAAGAGCACTTACTGCTCTTCCAGAGAACCCGTTTGTTCCCAGCACCCACACTGGGCAGCTCACAACCACCGGAACTCCAGTTCCAGGCGACCCAACACACTCTTCTGGCCTCCTGGAGCATACACACCCATAGACACACACACACACATGAGTGAATTTATTTTTTATTAAAAGCAGTAATAATGTAGCATTTGAGCCTAGTGCGGAGGTGCACACTTGTAATCCCAGCACTCAGAAGGCTGTAGCAGGAGGACAAGTTTGAAGCCAGCCTGGGGGACTTAATAATGCAGAACAAAACTGAATGATCTGCCCCTTCTAGGTAAACTCTCAACTCCGTGGACCCAGACCCATTGCCTTAACACACCTTCCTCAGCCCCTGGATTACTGCTTTTGGCCCAAGACTGTCAGCTCAGCTTCACCCTGCCTCGCCCTACACAGACCCAAGCTAAGAGACTTCTCTGGAAACCACCCTCGGAAGCAGCGTCTCTCCACCCAAGAGGAAAAATTCCACTGGGCCATCCTGAGTCTCGGACTTATGCAACAGTGTTCTAGTGATCCTTGCCCTGATGATGGATGACATGTCTTCCCCAGAACCATTTCTCTAGGCTGGGGGTTGTGGGGTTTTTATTTTGTTTTGATTTGATTTTCCAAAACAAGGTTTCTCTATATAAGAATCCCGACTGTCCTGGAACTCCCTCTGTAGACCAGGCTGGACTTGAACTCACAAAGATCCTCCTGCCTTGCCTCCCAAGTGCTGGGACTAAAGGTGAGTGCCACCACCGCCTTTAATCCACTGACTTTCTAGGTTGGTCTTTTGCATCCATCTCTCTTCTTAGCTCAGGAATGGCTACAAAAACTGCCCTTCTGCAATTGTCGAGGGTTTAACAACCCTCAGGAGCCCCCACCTCCTTCTCCTCAGGGGTCTCTGACAGTCAGATGGGGACAGGACCACAGTTTATTTGTCCAGTGCTGGAATTATATGCCCGTCTTCATTTCTCCGGCTTTTATAGCCATATTTGCTTGTCTACCAACAGTATTTGAAAAGACACCTCAGATCTTTCCCGTAGAGATGGCGCATAAAGAAATCCAATGTATAGCTATTCATATAGCATCCTTCATCAGCAAACTCCTGTAAAGACTCTGTCCACAACCCCATGAACATAACAAAGAATGCTCCCTCTATACAGCCCCAGCTTTGATGGGCCGACTTGGAGTTTTTTACTTTGAAACAATACCAAGAGTTGGGGCTGGAGAGCTGATTCAGTGGTTAAGAACACTAGCTGCTCTTCCAGAGGACCCAGATTCAATTCCCAGCACCCACACAGCAGCTCACAACTGTCTCTAACTCCAGTTCCAGGGACACAGACATAAATACAAACAAAACAATGCACACAGAATAAAAATAAAGTTAAAAAACAATACCAAGAGATACACATTCAGTGGTAGAAACTATTTTTTTGTTGTTGTTGCATTTTGTTTCACCTTTTAAGGTAGCTTCATTCTGAAGCTCAGGCTAGATAGCCTAGGCTAGCCCTGAACTCCCAATTCCCTTGCTTCAGCTTTCCAAGTGCTGTGATTAGATGTAAGTGTCCATAATTGGATTTTGATCTTTTTATTGGCTACCATTATAGTGGGTGACTCCTGATGCTGGGTAACAGAAGCATGTCTCCACTTCCAGGCCAACAGGGAGCTGCTCAGCACTCTATAATGCAACAGACTTCCCTCATGCATGGCCATGCTCTGAGCCCTTTAAGAGAGAGCCAAGCCCTAAGTTCAGCGAATGAGGTATATGAAGTTTGTACATTCTGTACATGATTGTACCCAGGTTAATTCCAGCCTACTGTAGTCAAGGAGCCTCGGACTGTTTTAGGAATAAATGTGCTGGCCACAGGGATGAGGCCAGCTAGGGGAATGGTCAGGGCCAGACGGAGTTCTCAGAATCAATGGCAAGTCTGATGGTGACCAGCACAGCTCCAGCAATCCCCAGGCCTGTTTGTTACCATCTCTGCTGCCCTGGCTTGATCCTCCTTCCCAGAAGTCTTGTAGGCATCCTATTCTCGGTGAGGTAAGGAGGAATCTAAAGTTTTCAGACACGCCCCCATCCCAGGCCCCACCCCTGTCTGTCCACTTCCCTCCCTCACCCCAAAGAACCAGGCCACACACTGGGTTTCAAGTATCTGTCTCTTCCTTTCACTCTCTCAAAAGAAAAAATAAATAAATAAATTGCAGAAGGCGGCAGCATTTCCTGTCTTCCCCTGGCTCCCGGACACCCAACCCCTGACCCCTTACCCACCCACCCCCCTCCCATAGTCCCCACTCCCTAGACCCATCCCTCCCCTTTCCCCCCAAAAAAAAGAAAAGAAAAAAAGAAAGAAAATTTCCCAGAAAAAAAAAGCCACAGTTAGACCTTCCACTCATGCAAACCGGCAAAGAAAAAGGTGGGGGCGTGTGGAAGACAGGGGGCCCGCAGCAGAGTCCCCTTACTTCTCCCCCAAAAACCACCTTTGAGAAGGAAAAATGGAGAAAATAATGAGAAATCAAATGACATGGGGAGTTATGATGGGGCAGGGGTGACCCCAGCCCCTGCCTCAGGAGAGCGCGGAAGCCTGTGGCCCTGCATCCCCACAGCGGGTACTCCTTGAGAGGGGCCCTGACTTCTGGAATGTATGTGGGAGAAAATGGGGAGGGCAGAGGCCCCCAGTGGGTCTGTGTGTGCATGGGGGCGGGCAGGCGTAGGGGTCCTAAGGAGCAAGGGCTCAGAACCAGGAGCCCAGTGCCCCCCAGGCCCCAGGTTCCTGGGGTTCAAGAGCCCTGTTTTGGGGTACAGGGATACATGCAGAGGAGTGTCCCCCCTCCAATGGACTAGATCCAGTTAGAAAGGAAATAAATAAGAAGGGGAAGGGAGGCGGGGTGCGGAGGGCTTGGGCTATTCAGTCCAGACCAAGGGCCCAGGAGATGGAGGCAGGGTGAGTCCAGGCCAAGCCAGGGCAGGAATCACAGTCTCTCTCGGGCTGGGACCCAAATATAGGGGCCTGAGAGGTCTTCAATGACACGCTTCACTTTGTGGTAGATCTCCTCAAAGCTGTCGCCCTCCACGATGGCTGCAGGTGGGGTGGAGCAGGGAGTGAGGCCAAGGTCCCAAGGAGCCCAGAGCAAGGGGCACCTTCTAGTCCTTCAGCCAGGAGCCCTGGGTGCCCATGCCCGCAGACAGGGCACCTCTTGCCACACCAACCCGGTCGGGCAGCTCCGAACCTCAGTAGACCCCCTGCACTCAGACGCAGGGCGAGCGGGGTGGCCTCTCACCTGAGAAGCACTCTGTGAATTCCTGCTCCAGTTTAGTGGCTCTGTCAAAGGCTTTCCGGGCTTGCTCCTCCGTGATCCTCTTATTGATCTCTCTGTCAAGAGGGAGAGATGCAGATCTGAGGGGCGGGCCCCTCTCTGCATCTTTACCTCCTCCATCCTGGCATGCTAAGGTACTCCTTTTTCTTAGTCGGAGCACACTGCAAACAATATAATTCCTGACATCCTCTGGGCTGCAAATGAGCTCCCGGTAACCCACCCCATCCAGGACCTCTCTGGAACCAATCCTTCCAGCCCCACAGAAGGGATTCAGACTCCAACTTCCAACTGCCTCTGAGCTTCTGATTTGCCCCAGCCTGTGTATGCCCCAGGGGGCACTGTAGTGCTGCCTGGCCCCAGGCAGGAGAAGGAGGGACCGGCCTGCCATTGCTTCAAGGCCTGGCTCTCAGGGCTCAGGCCAGCTCTCTGAGCACGGTGGGAATTGCTGTCCAAGGTTCTGAGAGGACACATGAAGGTAGGGGCCTTGAGAGCCCATGATCACAAGTGTGGGAAGCAGAGGGGAGCCCCCAGAACCATACTCACAGCACATTCTCCAGGGAGCGGGGACGGATGAAGATGGCGATGGGGTGCAGGTGGGCCGCCTGCAGCCGCCGCACGGCATTGGCCGAGACATCGAGGATGCAGTGCTTCCCCTGGGGGCGGGCGGGGAGGTGGAGGGGACCAGCAGGCAGCAGGGAAGGACAGACGGAGGTACCAGGAAGAAACACAGAATATAGAAAGGTGGGGGGCAGGAGGGTGGCCAAAGGGGAAGTAGCAGATGTCAAGGGACGTGTAGGAAGAGAACAGGAGGAGGTGCGGACAGAGTGACCGAGAGACAGGAAGGAGAAATGGACGATGGGAGAGCCAGGCACAAGAGGGCAGGGAAGGGAGTGTAGGAGACAAAGATGGAGGCAGAGCAGGGGCCAGGGGGGCAGCAGAGACAGGACACACAAGGCAGAGCAGGGCAGGTAGGGAAAGACAGTAAAGGGAAAGGGATAAAGGAATTAGGATAGAGGGAGGAGGGAGGGGAGGACAGACAGAGGACAGACAGATGGAAGGAATGGGAGAGACAGATGGGAGGGAGGGGAGACAGATGGAGAGAAGAACCAGAGCGGGAGGGCAGGCAGGGTGGGGAGTGGTAGGGACAGGGAGTTAAAGGAGGGGTGGGCGAGAGGGTAGTGGGGACCCCGTTAAAGGAGAGAAAGGAGCAGAGGGGAGTCAGGAAGAAAGGAGGGGACAAGTTGGGGAAGGCCAAGCCACCAACGGCAAAGCCCAGGAAGAGACATGGGGCAAGGAGTGGGAAGAGAGGAGAGACAGGGACAGATGGCAGTGGGGAGCGTGGGGTCAGGAAGCAAGGGGAGCAGGCCACAAAAGAGCAGGCGGTCAGAGTTGCCCGTGAGGAGGAGGAGGTGGAGGAGCGGAGTGCAGACCCAGCAGGGAAAGAGACAGAGAGAAAGAGAGTTAGAGAGAGCTGGAGGAGGCGGTGGGTAGGAGAGGGCAGGAGGAAGAGGTGCAGCGCCCACCAGCTCTCACCTGCTCTGCCACCTCTCGCACAGACTGGACACTGGTCCCGTAGAGGTGGCTGTTATACTGGCCAGCCTCAATGAACTTGTGCGCCTGAATGTCCTTCTCCATTTTCTCCCGGGAAGAGACAAAGTGGTAATCCCGGCCATCTATCTCATATTCCCGCTTGGGACGTGTCGTATCTGCCAAGAAGTCATCCCACCCCACAAAGATCTAACCACCATCCCTTAATACTAGCCAACATCAACCAAGCCCCAGCCACCCTGGTACCCGGCTGGTCCTTGGTAGGATGCTGCTGGGGATATTGAGACTAAGGTGGAACGGACTTTGCCACCCAGGGGTCTCCCAGACTGGACCCAGCCTTGCCTGCTGTAGAAGTGGGCAATCTGTGTCCCACTGCATTCCAGTGTCATGGCCCTGACTAAGTAAGACTCCTTGGGCCCCCCAACTCCAACTCCATCTCTATCCAAGGCCCCAGTACTCACGAGGGACACAGGATCCAAACTTGTCGGGGAACTCAGAGAGAAGATCATCATTGGCGCGGTCTTTGGTGGGCCCAAGGATAATGATGGGGCGAGCATAGTGCACTGAGAAGA